TTTAGCAGACTAGCAAACCTTATGACTACAAAGTATTTCCTGATATTATAGCTACATTCTTCCATTTCCTAAACTCATAGCAATTCTCATGCCTCAACTCATTCTAAACAATCCGTCCTTCTTCCAGTCCTCCACACATCAAACTCTTTCACGGTGCTTAATGACCCCCATGTGGTACTTACAGCACATTAGAGTCTATTCTGATGAAGTACATAAAGCTAATTATGTGAGTAGGATATTCAACTGATCACTAGAAATGCAGATATGACAAGTTAGAGAACTTCAAGCCCTTTAAACTAGTAAAACAGAAACTGTAGCCTGGGCATCGTGTTACCGCAGTGCAGAATCACAGGATAATATTGGGAACCACATCCCACAGCTGTGGGCCTTTGGTGTATGATGTGAATATCTTAGGCAAATTTTACTGGGACAGACACAGGAGAAGCTTCAGCATAATGTATTTAAAATTCAAAGGTAAAATACACAAAGTTAGGTATTCTAAGTTAGCTATTTAGGAGTTTTTCCTTTACATTTACACAATTGTTTCACTCTACTCCAAATCATACTGGCTTCAACCTTAACATGACTTTGCTAGTCATTCATTTTTTCTCATATTTAGCAGAGAACACTTACACTCCTCTTAGATTGAAATATCTGAATTTCTCAATTTAGCCAATTTAGTATAAACAAACTCGACAAGTTTTTTGACACACAAAATATCCTCTGTCTAAATAAAGAATAATGATTTTTAAACCTCAAGTGAGGGTAAATTTTAACATTTCAGGTAATCTTGAACAAAAATGCTACTGGAAAATCTGTGGCAAGAAACAAAATCTGAGGAGTGTTGGTAGCAGAACCTGGAGCTGAGCTTCAGCCTGGGGTTTCCCAGCTGTCCCACAGGTATCAGGACGTGTGGCTTTGCCCCAGCAGAAGACCTCATGTGGGCCTTGCTGCAGTGTGATATAGAGCCACTCTGATGTGGGAATCTACGGGATGGGAGGTGTGAAGGTGGCAGGGAGAGCTCCATGCTCACACCGAGCAGAACATTAGTAGCAACAAAGGATAGACCCCCTCTGTTGGTACAGCGAGCTCTCATTGCCTCTACTTCCCTGAGTTGTTTTACTCAAACACAGCTGCCCTTGCTTGCCGGATCAAGCAAAGAGCTTGCCCTGAACCATTTTAACCATTTCATTTTGAACACGGTAGGACAGCCAGTGGGGAGCCATGGTGAGCTCCCCTGCTCCATCCTAGGACCCAGCGTCGGAATGGAGTGGTCTTTGGCTTCCGTCATTACATCCCACCTCCTTCATCAAGGTAAGAAGCTGCTTCACATGCCACCGTCACTGGGAATGAGCTTCACGGACCCTGGCTCCCTTGTGTGCAAACTGCAAGTTACATGTAAGCACCAAAAAGTGGAATTTAAATGGCCGGAACAGACTAGTGAGGCTTGCAGGTCAGTTCCCTGCCACAGAAGGTGGCGAGATGCTTGAGCAGTTTGGATGCCAGGGCTGTCCCTCCAGCCTCAGCACCCAATTGGGCAGGACCCCATAGGAGCAGAGCCCCGTTACAACTGATCCTGGTTAGCAGCTGATGGCACGGCTGTCACAGTTGGCATGTTTTCTGTGAACAACAGCCTGGCTTATACCCACGCTTCAGGGACAGGACTTGAGGCAAGCCAAGTGCTGCACAGCCTGCTCTATCCCTACCAGGGGAAAAAAGCACAGTCCCACCGCTGCAAATCCATTTAACTGAGTCAATCAGAACGCACAAGCTATTGCCAGAAAGTCAGCGGAGGAGCATAGCACAGGCTCCATGCACATCCAGGCTTACTGCTTTCAGAGAGGTCACAGGAAGGGGGAAAATCTGGTGAAGAACAAAGCTGCCACATCACAGCTCCATTAGCAATCTTCCCCGCAACACAAACATCATGTCTCCTTACTCTGAACAAGTGGGGTTTTACTCTCTAGACAGTATTTAATCAGTATTAGTATGCCAAAATGAGACACTTGTTGGGATTTCTGAAAAGAAATGTAACCATCAGGGGTTTAGGAAGAGCTAGCACCACAAGACATCTGGCAGGGGAGAGAAAAGCAAGAACAGGATCTCACTAGGACTCCTTCAAGGATCACTGTTTCCCCTAAAACACTCTGCACCTAAAATAAACTTGTGTTTTCCTCTCATCCAGCCATAGTAACCTGCTTTTTAGCAACTTACAATACATCATGATTTTTTTAATGGCAGATACAAGATCTTGAGTTGAGCCCCTCCATTTACAACAGTAGCAGCCCCTCTATTTTTAACATACGCACACTTGCAAGACATTTTCAATTACTTCTGTCTTCCTGACATGCCGAGGTGCTGCTTAAATAGGAAATTGTGTTATCATCTATGTCTGAAGATTTCTAAAGCTAGATAATTTTGTATTTATTTTCTACCCTACTGATCTAGGAAATTAACAGTAAAACTTTACCCTGCCCTCTAGGAAGCTTGATTTAATCAAGGACATGATCTCAGGTAGTAACTACAGAATCAGCTATTTATTTAATTTAAATAAAACCATTCTTCCAACAGACAGTGAAGGGAAGAAATAATATGTCATGCTAAGATTCCTGAGCCAATGTTTTTCCCCTGCATCCACTCTCAGGGTTACTTTCTGTGCATGTTGAAGTGCACTGCTGATCTGTGTTAAATAAGCTACAGCAGAATGAGAAGCAACTAATTTGTGATCCCTGGGTGTTGGGCAACTAATTTAACTCTTGCTGGCACATAGACTTTAAATAGAAAAAGATGATACAGTTTCACACTGATAACATTTCTATGAAAGTTAATAGTTCAACAGTAAGGAAACAATTTTTAATTCCTACCTATCTGACCTACCAGGAGTGATGAACAAGAGTTGTGTAGCTTTTAATCTCAAGAAAGCAGGTGATGTTAAGTGTCTTCTTGTGCGATGACTTACCTGAAGACTGACACCACAAATACAGGGCATGCCCACATCCATTTGATAACACATCTTCTCCTTCTCTCACCCTGGTCCAGGAGGAAGAATTATCCATTTGTATTGAAAGACAAAAAAAAAGAATTCTGGGCTGGACAGCTGTGTGTGTCACAGGTACCACATCAGAGGGATGACCCTCGGGAAGTCCTCATTCTCTTGCTTTCCCATGGAGGTGGAGGCAAACTAGACAACTGCTTAGATGGGCTAACTTGTCAGCAAGAGCAGAATGATAGGTCCTATTTTTCATCAGGTGACAGACTAAGCTTGTCTCTATGTGAATTTGTACAAGCAGATCACTTCCCCTGGGTAATTTTCGTATCTGTCAGAAACATTCTTGCAACATGCACAAGTTGGTCACAACATCCTAATCCCAAAGATTAAAGAGGGTTAGCATCTTCAACCAAGTGAGCTGGAAAAAAATGTACGTGCCAAATACTTCCACATCCTTCTGGTGACTGGAATATGGTTTCAGTTTTTATGGGCTTAATGTACATATAAAATATGAAAATACACCAGAATATATAAATGAAATCAATTTATTTAAGACAAATGAAGAGTCCAATGCAACTTTCTGCATCTGAGATTACTAATGTTTCTTCCACAGTATTTTGAATAGAAAACAGTTGACTCAAATTATCTTTTAAAGAATTCTCAGTTGTATGAACATGTATAAAGCCACTGTGTTCAAAGACAGTGCTGTACCTACAGATGTTATTTTTTTCAGATTCACACCTGAAATTGCTAGACAACATTTCTTGCAGAGATGTATCTTAGGTCTAATCAGCAATAAGGTAATTCTGTCCATAACAAAGGCTTCATGTAATCAAAGTCAAAAAGATTACAACGCTAGATAAAAGGAACAGCTTTCCAAAGGCAGATAGGTAGAGTAAAAGCACAAAGCAAAAGAGGTTGACTACTCTCAAAGTAAAGTTAATTAGGAAATAAACAGAAATGAGCCGTCAGTCCAACAGTAAAACAAGACACAAGCCTAAGTTTGGGGACATTGGAAAAGTTAGAAGTCCCTGGACACATTCGTCTTTGGCATTTCCATTACTCCATGTAAAAGGAGAAAGAGAAAATCCTTAGGGTTTTTAACTCTTTTCTTTTTATTTATTTTAATTAATTTCAAATTAATACAAACACTACAAGATTTAGGAGCCTGTAGCATCTTTTCACCTCTGGTGATTCATATCACCTGGTCCCCCCTGTCTGCACTGCTCCCAGGCTGATATCACTTGCTTTGATATTGACACAGTTCAGGCTCAATCCAGTCTTCAAAGAAGAACGGGCGTGAAAATCCCTCAATCCCCCTTTCCACTCCGAGCCCAGGGCATGCACACACTTCCCAAGGACTGCACAATCCAGTGGGTATTATTTTGTACTTAATAAAATTAACAGTCTTTACAGAAAATAGGATTTGAAATGACATTTCAGCCACAGGATCATTCCAAGTCTGGTAGATGAAACAACAGCTATGATATCAGTTCTGATCTCTTTCATATCAGTGACATTTGATTAATTTTCTAAACTAAGTTTGTTACACTGCACATTAAGAGGCAGAAGAAAAGCAGATGAGAAAGACTATGTTGCTCATTTTATGTATTCTTTGTCCTAAACTGTTCTGCATGGCTGTAATGTACTTACCAAACACAGTTTATTGTGATTATTTACTTACTCAGATTGTAAGAAGTGACATTCTAAGTAAAAACAAAATACAAAAATGCCTCAGATTCACTCTCAATGTGGTTTTCTCTGCAGCAGGGAAACCAGCACCTTGTATATGCAGTGTACATTCAGCATCTATTCATCTATTATTAATAATATTTTTAAAAATTGCACTCAGAAATCAAGATACCAAGCCTAAAACTCAGTGGCACAGGAGAGATTAGTGAGTGCTGCACAGACTACATTAGTCCTACATCAGACACAAACTCCAGGCTGGACAATCCTGGAATACATGTATTTATATCCCCCCGGAAAGAAGGACAGATTTTGGACTTACGGTTGGTTGTCCTGCTTTGATCACTCTGAGCACTCTCGTTTGACTGGTTGCTGGCGACAGAGGATACGCTTGAGCTCCTGACAAAACCAAATGCAGCCAGTTTAGCTGCTGGCAACCGTGAATAACCTGGAGGGCGAAGTCCAGACTGGCAGGGCTTGGGGAGATTTGATTTTGCAGCACTTGGACATGAGCCTTTCTTAAGATCAACTGAAAGAAGGAAAAAGAAATAAATTTTTATTAAATAAACTAAACTGGGATATACTGACCATTACCTGTACCACACAGCTACATAAAGTCAGTATAAAGACTGAATACAAGTTTTAACAGCAGCTCAAACTACAGTGATGTCTTATTCTTTGCTCCACTAAAAAGAAGTTCTGTGGAACAATTACAGGTCCCAATAATTTTTAAAATGCGAACGTGAAATGCAGCAAGGATCTATGAGGCATAACTCAAACTTACAGCAAAGTAATGTAGTTCTAGTCTGCTAAGATTTTTTTTTTGAAATTTTATCTTCTATTATGCTGTATCACTTTCTAATTTTACATTTGTTATGTGCCAATTAAAAGAAACTCATACTCAGAGATAAACACGCTACACATAGCCTTCAATTTTGGAAACTATTGTAGAACACCAACAACCCTTTTCAAGGACACAGGCTTCTTTGTATTGCATCAAAGAAAACACTTCTCTGAAGTCTTGCTTTCAAATTTGGCTGAAAGAAAATGCCCTTTTCCTGTACCAAGCCTGGAAACAAGGACATGACCCATAAAGTTATACTTTTTTCACATACCACCGGCCATTTCCACTGATGGACTTCTCCTCACTATAAACCATCAGCCAATGTGAATGACATCAACCAAGTCTCAGACAACTACCAATAGCAGGCTTATAAAAGATGAAATTTGGCAACAACAGCAGTTCAGCTAACACGTCCACCTGTGTTAACTACTAATTGGTCACCTGTCTCTAGCTTGTGTCCTAACCCATATTCTGCTGCTCTTGCTTAGGTGAACTTTCCTAGGGAAATCCAGAACATAGGTCCATAAAAGCTCCAAAGTGTCTTCATGGACCAAAGGAGCATGAATATGGCAGGATTGTCTTGAAGGAGCAAAGATTAGAGTTTGCTTTTGATTGGAATTCTGGATACCAAGTGGATCTGGACCTCAACTGAACATAAAATCTGGAAAGAGCATTTCTTTCTACATTTGACAATATCAGATTCCTGTTCCTTGTGGAATCCCGAGCTGCAAAAATATATATTTAAAAAAAATAATAATCAACAAAGTTGTCCAAAAGCTGATGCCAGATTGTTTCAACAGTCATCAGAACCGGTGGGTTAGGAGACAAGGCAGCATTAAAACTATCAACATATTCTGCCAGAAAAGGCCACAAAGTCATCACCATATTTCCATTCTTCTTCAGTGAACACTATTCGTGCTTTAGTCTGACGCATACTTCAAAGGAAGAAGTGAACATTCATAATATAAAGGAAAAATAGGAATTAACTGCACAGTAGGAATATGGTCTTCACATTATGACAGTATTTAATTCTTCTGTAAACTATGTAGGTCACAGCCTTATTAATTTTAATGAAGCATTACACTTTGAGGAGACTTTATAGAAAACAAAACTAAATCCTTTGAGGAGAAAAATGTTATGGGGATTTTGAAAGATAGTTGTATATCTCATTACAATAATAATACTAAGCTTTGTTTAACAAAACTAAGCCTTTTCTTTTGAAATAGAAATATGTGTAACACCAAGCTGAAAAGAGTTTTGTTATGCTATAAAACACATTCCTATGAAAGACATCTGAAAGTGCTCCTTCCTCAACAAATGAAATAATCCAGACTCTTAAAAATACATTTTTGTACCCACTTTTCACAAGTTGAGGCCTTTATTAAGACACAAGGAGATGGATGTCTGACTGCAACACCTCTGCCAGCAGAGAGGAGGACATGCTGTGGAGAGTAACCCAAATGAAAATAACAAATATCTACAGTGTGTAATAAAAGACTGCTAAAATCCCTGTTCACTTTTTTGGCACCGACAGAGACAATTTTGGACTCTGATCCTCAATCTGGCTTCATTTGGACGATGTGAAGATGGGCTCAGAGGTAGCTGTGGGCTTTGGGTGCAGGTGAAAAGCAGTGAAGGCACATTAGCACAGAGAACAGATAAGGAATGGTGTTTACCATCAGTTTACTGCCAGGCTTGTTCAGCATTGCTTTGACAGTGGTCTGTTACAGCTGGTTTATGGTTATCTGCAAAGCACCATCAAGACAGACTTCTTCCTTCCCCACTGCTGGGGACATTCTTGCCACACCTAAATGACTCCACGGCAAGGCACCACAGAACACCACCTCAGTGTTTTTCTCAGTGCTACCAGCACAGCTTGCAGTTAGTGTGAATCACGTTAACTGATTTTCATATAGGAACAAGCAAAAGTGTCCAGTGAAACGCTTTAAGAGTCCCAAATGCTAGAAATTACATACTAATCATCTTTTGGACAGAATCTCTCTGTTTGGGAGGACCAATACCTTCCTGCGTTAACAACTGCTGCAAGGCAGGACTCAGATTGGCTTATGCTGGTGTCAGGCTGCACTTTTATCGTGGAAGGAGATCCTGTGCCCTCTCCCTTCCACAGTCAGGCTCGTCATGCCCCCACCAGTGCTGATACAAACGCTCCAGCAGTATTGTGGATGAGCCAGGCCGTCTTGCGTACCCAGCCGGCTGCACGGTCATGCACTTGCTAGTGGCTGGCCATGGCCAAACATCAGTTTTGCCAGCTACCTAAAGGCCTAATCACTCAAGGGCAACTGCGTGTGATAAAAGGCACGCAACTCGGTCACAGTGTGCAAAATATTCCCTGTGTTGCATCAGTGACAGGACCAAGCCCAGGTAGACTCCAGATTTGAAGCAGAGGTGAGTACAGTGGCAAGCGGCTGCGGGCACAAGGAACCTGCCCAGGTCAGTGGCAGCAGGGAGAAGGTATGGGACTGTCTCTTGGGGGTTTTACAGATTTCTGAAAACTGCATCAACAGGCCTGCACTACGTAAGCTGAGAGTTGAGATTCTATTTTCCTAAGAATCCTTGAAAATTGAGGTGGAGGGAGAAATCTTCCCATTTTATAGCAAAAAAACTACAAATATCACAGATTTCCTGCAGCAGAATAGGGGAAACTGCACTGGGGCAGGGGGTTAAAGTGGTTAGAAATGGTTTTATCTAAAAAGCATTTGAAATGCACTTGCTCTAGGATGGAGAGGTTCACCTGGGATGCCCATGTGCCCAGCTCAACCGCAGGGATGCCCACACCAAGTCCCCAGGCTGTCCTCTGCACGGCTGTGTGACACCTACAGTCCGTGACACGCTGAGAACCATGGGTGACACTGAAGAAGAATCATTTCCTTAAAACCAGAAGGCTTTTGGTGAAAAATTGACCAGCCATCTCTACCTTTTCTTCAAAATCATTCTCCCAGACCCGAGCAGAGGTGTTTTTTCTCACACTTCCATGAGTGTTTCAGTTAATGACTTCAATTCAAATTCCCTCTGAACTAACATTTTGTATCTTGAACTCATCATCCTTAAATTATTTTTCACTTCTACGCTTTGTAATCCAGCTCTTCTGTACCATGAGGACCTGGAGGCAGGACATTATCCTCATTAGGGATGCATTCAAATCCTTAAAGCTAGGTCATTTTGTGTCTTCTTTCTCATTAAAATACATGAGACATCAGCCTATTGTATATATTTTCTGTTCAAACATCATGAAGTTTTACAATTATGTTCTTCCTTTATTTCTGTTTCTTAAAAGTATAGAACAACTCCTGCAAACAAGGTCTGGGAGTTCAAAACAAAAGTTATTTTAATGAGCAGCTTTCATTTTAATAAAAAACTGCCAAAATAAGCTTAAAATATTGGCAAAAAAAAAATCTTCACAGCTGTCTCACTGCCTGAAGCTAATTATAGAATTAAGTACTGTTGTCTGTATGGCACACAAGTGATTTTCTATGACACTTCAAGCTGTTCCCATCTAGAAACATGAAAACATTTTGAGATAGCAACTGATTGATACAAACCAGATGTGCCTGGAGAGCCTTAAGAAAAGTCTGAGCCATATTTATGCATCCCCACTGCACATGAATTGCATCTCCATGCACATGTATTAGCAACTTTCATGTCACTTCTCTGAAATCTGAAATATGGTTTAGCTGAAATGAATAAAAAATTAAAGAAAGAAGTTACACAGACAAGTTCTTATGAAAAAGAGTAATAGTTCAAGACTTCAACTCTGCTTGCGGTTCATGGATCCTTGGCAAGTCTTTGTTTTCTTGTGAAGAGGTTTTTGGGGTGTTTTGGGTTTTTTTTTTTTTTGACAAGCTTTTTTGTTAAAACTTTAATCATTAGATGTCATTTTCTGTCAGAAAGCTCTCTTTCTTTCATAGGATGCTCTGAACATCATTATTCTCATTTCTTATTGGGAAATCTGGGGCAAAGAAGTTACCTACAAGTCACAGAATTAGTCAGAGATAATACAAGTAGAGTTAACCCAGATCAGAGTCAACCTAGTCACTGTATCTTTGCAGATTAGAAACAAATTAGACAAATAAGAAACCTATTCTGTTGCCACTACCTTTGTTGTTTCCCTATTACAGACATAATGACTTCTCTCTAAATGAGAACTGAGGAAAGGGGCTTTAAAACAGAGGTTTTAATGATTTACACCTAAACAGCAGCAAGCAGGTTGTGCCCAGCTCCCCCGATGGTCTCTCTTCCAAATACTGTAAAGCCTGGGACAGTTCAGTTCCAAATGCAAAACAGATGTCACGACTGAACATCAATTAATTTTTGATCGCCCAGTCCACTGCCACACGGTAGGAAACGCTCATCTCCTCCTGATTCAGATTTAAAAGCCCCAAAAAGCTGCTCTGTGCCTTCCAGATCCCAGGCAACCCAAGGCCAGTTAGCGTGTTCTCACCACCCCAAGGATTTGTCCGCTCGTGCTTCATTCAAACTGCAAACATCCATGTTCGCTTTGTAGCTGATGTGCAAAGCAGCAGCATCCCACTGAAACTTTCAGCACAGGAATTGGAAATGCCTGAGCCGCACCCACTGCACGTTCCACTGAAAGCCCAGAGCAGCAAGAACACTTCTCTGTGCACCGGAGCCACGTCTCATCTGCCCAGCTGCTGCTCATCGGCTGC